CTAATTTTACTAGAACAGCACAGTCTGCAGCAAAGAAGTTCAATAAATCTTCTATATTCTGTGTTGTATATGTGTGTATATGTATATACTGTATGTATATATGTATGTATATGAATATGAATACACACACACACATGCACCATTAGTATATTATCTGCTGCCATTAGTATAAAACAACCTATGTCTTGGAAGTTTTGGAATATTCAGATTACATTCAAACCTTGCTAAGGAAGCTAACTTTATACTCATATCAGATGGCCAAATATCTTCAATTTGTACAAATGCACAAAACTTTTAATTGATAGGTCATTCTATCACCTTATTATTTCTTTTCCCTGACAATTAATTGCTGTGACAAACTCTGTTTTTCTACTCTAAAGGTCAGTCAAACATCATAATAAAGATGATTTGATTTGTTTTTATTATCTAAAACATTATATGATGTTTTATCTCTGTAACAAAAGTGCAGCAGTACTAGATCATATGTTGCTCTCTTTCCTTTGTTTCTTTATGGAAGGTTCGGACAGAATTCCAGAAAAGCTGGGAACGATGGAGATTGGAACACCTTTATGTCCAGAGAGACAACAGTATGAAGCCACTTAAGTATCCAGCCAACAGCATTAGCAGTGGAGGTACAGTTGGAACCACAGTCTACGCTGCTACTTGTCAAGCTACTACATTCAACTAAGATGCAGAAGAAATGGCCTCTCTGACCAGAGCTGTAGGAGATAAAACTGAACACCCAGCTAGACTCTTAGAGACTTTAGAAGACTTGCCCTTCTGCTGTTCATTGCTGCAGGCAGCTGAATAAGTTTTTAAAATGAAGCGGATGGCTAACGTAATCAATGCATTTGAGGGTAGAAGTCCCCTCCAAAGTAAATGTAAAGAGTTTTTCCCCAATTAAAACCAGAGGCCTTCAGGTGTCCAAAGTCCCCTCTGTTGATGCAGTTACAAAGCATGAGGTTAATAATTTATCAAAACAGGTAGACAATTCAAAGCATTGATTAAATTATAAGAATGCAGCTGATTAATGCAGACAAGAAAGATAAGAGTTTCAGAAAGGAAACTCATGGTTAGAAAAAAGCAGTTATAATCAGCATAATCTTCATATACATTTCAGAGCCTTTCTTATTGGTAGCTTTGTTAAGTGAAAAGTAGCCATTTTGAGCTCAATCCAGGACAGAAATTTTCTCTACATAGCAATGCTTTTGTAGAGAAATATCTTCTGTTTTACTTCGGCTGTAATAAGCTTTTCACAAAAGAGCATGCCCATTATAGTTAAAAAATATGGGCCAGTGCTTTTTGTCATTAATCCTAAGGAAAACATGTTCACTGCAATCCCGAGACAGTAATGTTTAACTTTAAAAAAATATATTTGAAATGCGAGTCTAGTAAATGCTTTTTTACAATATGTAGCTCCAACGGCAATGGGAATGTTTACTTTCTTTCTACCTGGAAAGACCTGACAATCCAACTCTTGTTCAAATGTCAGAAGTATTGGATATAATATGTTGCTTTTCGTTGCATGGTTTCAGACTTGTTAGTGGGGTTTTTTTTTGTTTTTGGTCTGAAGAAGTACTTGGCTGTAGTATACCCTGGCCGTTTATGCCTTAGCTCTTGCATAGTCCTTCACTGCTTCAGAAAGCTGCATAAATTCTAATATGAACCAAAGTAATTAGTAGCTTATTGTCGTGTATGTATTTTTAAGTGCATGATATTACTGCTCCTGTAAGAATAGAGACAGAAATGTTATATTTTATTATGCTGAAACCTAGAAGGTATACGTGTGAAAACAGCCTCTTTGTGCTCAGATGTCTTGGTCATAAACATTCAGCACATTATAGTTTTATGTGACCATAGCCTTTTTTTCTGTCTTCTGGAAACATGATTTGAATGAGTTGAGATTGGAGCTATAATTTCAGCACTTTGGTCAGCTCACAATCCAATAGGAAAGTTTGCTGGCATTTATGCTGCTGAGAAATCTTCAGAATCTGAGTAATTAAGTGGACCTCAGTTGGAATGAATTAAAACTATATAAATTCCATATTCTGCTATTAGTAAATCCATTTCAAGGTGTTAATTATTCCCAAAACATTCATCAGAATAAAAAGATGGCTACTGGTGCCAATTTGAAAAACCGTGCAAACCTGAATTTGTTTTGTGCCAATGTTGTTTTACTTTTTTTTTTAAAAAGGCAGAAAATATATGCTATTGAGTTCAAGCAGAATATGGCAAGCAGAGTATGGCATTAGTAATGTTTGTAGCCATTCTGANTCAAAAAGGATGATTTTGAGGCTGATGCAAATGTGAAATAGTCTTGTTGCATCTGTTGCTCTGTGCATAAATGAGGAACCTACAAGTTTCATTTAAAAGTCTTTGTGAAATCCAGCACTTTCAACTGTCTGAGTAAGCTGTACAGAAAATACAGTTTTATTATTCCTATTATTAATACAAGATGTGTGTGTGTGTGTGTGTGTGTGTGTGTGTGTGTGTGTGTGTGTGTGTGTGTGTCATACATTATTTTCGGGTATTTCTAACATTTTCTGAATTTCTTCTCTAAAACCAGATTACAGTAATTTTTTCAATTTTCTAGACATCCAGAACATTTAAAAGCACAGCAGAATTTTGTCAGTCTAAAGATGTATTTGAAGTGTTTATTATGTTCAATTGCTTGCCTTTTATATTATTTAAAAAAAGACTTACAACTTCTGTTAAACACATTATCAAATCAATAGAACTCACGGAGTATGGATGGTTACCTACATCTTACAAAGATATGTGTAACATTGTAAAAGATACTTGTGGCTTTTCTCTCTGTAAAAGGCAACATTTTGTCCCTTACTCTAAAACTTCTCAATATCCCCTAGTGGGATAGGTGATGTGAAGAGGTATAGCAAGCATGTAACAAGCACTAGTCAAAAGAGTTTAAATCATCCTGAGCGCTAATAAGCTTTCAGCCAACAGCCCAGTGATAGACCGAGTACTGAATGCAGAAGTACAGATTTGTACTGCAGCATAATTTGCTGTTTGTAGTGAATGACAGCTTTGAGTAAATGGCTAAGCAGTTACTTGTCACTCACTAATGGACTTTTTTGTTTGGTTTGTCTTAGTGAAAAAATTGCTTCACGGTGCCAAATATCACTTCAGATTCAGTTACAATAGTGTTTTGCTATATAGTGTGTGTCTGTTTTGAGGATGAGGACGTTATTTCTAAAAATGAAAGCATGCCCCCATTTTTTTCCATCTTACTTTCAGGATATTTTTTTAAAAACTTCAGATTCATGTCTGTAGAATTAAACTAGGAGTGCTTTGTGAATAATGCATTAGTGCACAGTGAGATACAGCCTCCATTTCTACCTTTTGTATACCTGCCATCTTCAATGGTACATGTAAATGGTACATGAGCAAAATGTTGTACAGGCAAGCATTTGCCATATATATTGAGAATCTCAAGATTGACTTGGTGTTTTCTCCAGCAGTATGTCCTCTGTCCAGCTCCTATTTTTAAGAGTATCAGACATTGCTGGGGCTATGTGTGGTCCATGTAAATTTTTGGACTTCTTTAGTTCCCACATACTTATGTTTAATTACTGGGTTTTATAAAGGATAAGATAATTGAAGTAGGGGGGAAATTGAAATAGGAGGGGAAAAGTCACCCACTTTTATAGGGAGCAATTTAACCTTCAATCACAAAATTGTAAATATTATACCTCTATACTATACTGTAAATTGTAATTGGATATATTTGAATAATTTTCGATTCCTTCATGATAATATAATCAATAGATTATAAACACTTTTCTCAAAGCATGTTGGCTTTGAAGTGATTTGAAAGATAGACTGGAAGGAATTGTTGAAGGGGGGAAAATGCCCAAAGAAGTAGCTGTTGAAAATATAGCTTTGCAGGGATGTTTGTGTGCACACTCAGATTATTTGAACAGGGTTTTATTGAAAGTCTGGACAAACCAGACAGTTGTCTGGTCAGCTACAAGAACAAAATTTTCTGCAAAACACATTTTTTTCATCATCAATCAAAATCCTTGATTTATTTGGTATAGTAGTTTGATATTTGGACTTATTGGCAATCAATGTGACCTTTTATTTTAAGGATGGAAATGTGACTATCTATTGTGCCTTATAATTTGTTTTCTGATTTCTAATGAAATAACTTTTATTAACTACTGTTAATATCTAACAGAGGGAGCTTGAGTGCATCTATTTTTGCACTTTGATCTAGATTAACTGAACTGTTTTTAAGATTCAGCTGTGCTATGCATCGACATTAAGTAACAACTATTATGCTTTTCTATGTATGGAAGAAATATGGGATAATTAGATTATTATCTCCATGTGCTGATCCTTGTCCCATTTTTTAAAATTATTCCAGCTGTTGGAATAAGAATCTGAACATGAACTATTGGCTGATCATCAGGCTACCTATTATGGTTGCTATTGGGGTAAGTGTTTGGAAATTCTTTCAATAGTAACACGGGTTATGAATAGCGAGTGGAAATGGATAATAAAAATGCTAACAGTGTAGCTGTCCTTTCACTAATAAATAATTTTGTAGGTGTTCCATTAATTGTTTTCTGTCTCCTAACATTCAATGGATAAATGATGCATGACAGTTTTTTAACCAATCTATCTGTAAAAACGAATTTGAAATTACCTTTTTCTGTGTTCCAATAAATAAGTAATTGAATGTCCATCAACTTCATAGTCTTAGTTGTGGCTAAACTCCTCTTTCTTAACAAGCCAGGCTTTTCTTGATGTGCATACTGTGCTAAGCAGAAAAGCTGTTGGCAAGAATCCCTAATAGCCTATCTTAATTTTATAATAATAATAAACTATATATAAAATGCGTAAGAATTAAACCATTATAATAATTAAGGCATTAATTAAAATATCAATTTATACTTGGCATGTGTGTCTAAAATTTCATTTGAAATGTGTCAACTAGAATATATAATGATGCATTCCTTCATGATATTTCATATGATGAGCATAATTTTGGAGTGAGTTGTCTGGCAACATAATCTTAAAATGAATATTATTATAGAGATAACAGAGATGCCGCTCAGTTCTACAATCTGCTTTGTAATTCCTTTTTGTTTTATTCAGGTGAACTTCCTGATCTTTATCAGGGTTATTTGCATTATAATTTCTAAGCTGCAAGCCAATCTATTGCGCAAAAGTGACATAAAATGCAGGTGAGATCATTTGTCAGCAAAAATACTATCAAGGTGCCCCCCCCCCAGCAAAATGCTTACGGTAATTGATCATAATGAAAAATGCTTATGACAACTGAGAAAGGTGTAGATTACATCTAATAAGAGGAAACAAAATTACAGTGCCATTTATCGGTAACAATTTAAGTATAGATAAACGTTGAATTCTGGCAGAAAGTATAGTACATGTGTCAAATTTCTTGCTCTTTTTGTAAGGAAAGAGAATTCAACTTTGTATAGTTTTTTTTAATTGAAATCTGTTTTAGGAGTGTTTTGAAGTATATGCAGCTTGTTAAAGAGTCTTCCCAATAAATCATTTACTTTGAAGAGTTAGCTGTCACTCCCATGTCTAGCTGTGGGGTTCTTTTTTATGTGGGTTTCAAGTTATTTATTGTTCTGATTTATCAGGCATTTTAAAGTAGTAGGTTTGGTATTGTCTGGAGTAGAAATGTACCAATAGGTCTGTATCAACATTTATATTTAATATTAATTTTAAATGTTGCTTGGCATAGTGTCATACTGTACATAAATATATGTCAGCAATAAGTACCATTTCAGCAAATATGATACATCCACAAATACCCATTTCCAGTATAAGTTTAACCAAACATTCCTTTAATTTTCTAGCTAGACACATAATATTTTGAAGTAAATTTTAATGTCAGTCATATTTTATCAATGAAGTATATTTTTGTAACTGGAATACATTATGGGGAAATCAGTCCTATCCTCTAGGTCAAAAACATTTTTCCTGTGTACATATTGGGGTTCCTCTTTTTGAGAGAAGGGGAGAGATATAGTTCAGTAATGCAAATTATTAGGGGCTATCACTTAATATCTGCTGCAAATTTTGATGCATAATTTAACACGGTTTTCCTCTGGTGCTTGGAAGAACCCAGTAACCATAAATAATTTTGTGCTAACTGTATTGTTTCTTGAGCTAATACAACAAGTTGCCTTTAAGTTTTGAAGCTCTGTAAGCTAGACCTTCTCATTTCCCCAGCAGAAGTTGAGACCCTAGAGATAAGAGAGCGATTTGTTTTGTGGTATAGTTTTCGCAACAAGAGTGGTTGAATTTGTTTTAGTCCAGTGGATATTTTTATTTTATTTTAGATGATCCTTTTGCTTCTGTTTGTTAACCTGTTTGACTGATCTTCTCAGATTGGCGAAATCTACTCTGACTCTGATCCCACTTCTGGGTACACATGAGATCATCTTTGCTTTTGTTACTGATGAGCATGCCACGGGGATGCTGCGGTTTGTGAAGCTTTTTTTTGAACTCTCTTCTTCTTCTTTTCAGGTAGGACCTACATTCTCTATTCAATTTGAAATTTTATAATCAGGATTTCAGGATTTTTCTTTTTTGAAAGTCTGTTTCCAATGGTGTCAGCTCCAGTCTGCACTAGGATTGTTATGCTCCAGAAACTGAGAGGATGAATGTCATCACTTTGGTTAGAAGGAAGGATTTATACTCAGTGCTGATATCTGGTCAGCATTCCATTCCATTTTTTTTATTAGAGGGTCGTTAAGGTCACCTGGAGGTTTATCTGTGTCTTCAGGGTCACCTGATTAGTGCAAATTGGTGTGGAGAATCCACACCAATTTACACCGCTCAGGTAACCCTGAAGACACAGATAAACCTCCAGGTGACCTTAACGACCCTCTAATAAAAAAAATGGAATGGAATGCTGACCAGATATCAGCACTGAGTATAAATCCTTCCTTCTAACCAAAGTGATGACATTCATCCTCTCAGTTTCTGGAGCATAACAATCCTAGTGCAGACTGGACCTGACACCATTGGAAACAGACTTTCAAAAAAGAAAAATCCTGAAA